TATTGAGAGTTTTGATTGTGTTTTGAAACAAGTTGGGAAGTTAGTTTTTCCAAAGTAGTTGTTGTCCCAAAATTTTGTCATTGTTCGCTCGAGTGGACCATTTTGGTGCTCGAGTGGTCTTTTACCAACCTGCAAAACTACTAAGAAGTTTATATCTTGCTCAAGCGTCCTTTCTTGGGCTCGAGTGTGGTCTTTTTTGTAGTTTTGTTGCTCGCGCGATGTCACTTATTGTGTCTGTCACTGAGCGACCATTCTTGCGCTAAGTAATCTGTGCGTATATCAGTCCAAGAAAAGGGTCATTTCAGTCACTTTTGGTCATCTCTTTCTCTCTCTAAACATTCAACATTCCTAGAATCCACGTACTCTCTTCTCTCTCTCTCTCTCTCTCTAGTTCTCACTTCTAGCTTCAAATACTCTCAATCCATTAGTTCCCACCCTCCGCCTTTGCGGGCAAAGATTTTCAATCTCTTCTATTTTCAATTGTTAATTTCAAACCACTATAGTTAAAAACAGATTAAAATTTACTTATCAATTTTTAAAAAATTGTTTCAATTAATTAAAAAAATAAATTTATCCATCAATTATTAATCTCGTGGCATAGCACGGGTTATGTCCATGACCCAACCCGTCCTATAGGGGTAGGCATTCATAATCCGGCCGTATCTTGGGATACAATACGGGCCTAGACCAAAATCAAATTATAATTAATAATAGAGGCCAAAAGTGGGAAGCAAAATACAGAAATTGTCCAAGGAGCTGTGTAATTACATGCGCAAAATAAAAACTTTTCTTTGTATTATAATAACTTCCACATTACAATACATAAGCATATAATAACTTTTCCTATAGGGTAGGATCAATAACCGGCCAGTAATCTTGGAATTACCTACGGTCTTAGACCAAAATCAAATTATAGATTATAATAGAGGGCAAAATGGTGGAAGCAAAATACAGAAATTGTCCAATGAGCTGTGTTATACATGGCAATAAAAACTTTTCTTATGTATTATAATAACTCACACTTACATACATAATGCATATTATACATGTCCAAGATCATTCAAAAGTAGTCTTAACAGAACCAAGGTTATGTAGAGAAACTGGTCAAACATGACCACAAAAAAAAAAACAAAACAAAACAAAAAACAAAAACAAACAAAAACAAACAAAACGAAAAACGAAAAACAAAAGAAGGAAACAAGCAAAAGTTAAGCCCCCCTTTTCCACGAGGCAACCTGGTCTGACCTCCTCAAAACTTGGTTTTTCTCACAGATCATGGGGGCTTGGGGCTGGGCCCTAGACATCCACTAACTCACCTACATACAATAAATAAAGAGTGAGCTAACGCCCCAATATAATAATACAGAGTAAGAGGTTAATGAAATGGATTCATTGAATAGATCATACTTGTAATGTAAACATTTGAAATTAACTCTTCTCATTCATGTCAAGATTTATAAATTTCATAACACAAGCAAAATGACCTGGGTCCAATATTATATCACATTCTGTAGTACAAAACGCACCCCGGATGTCCAACTCATATACAAATAAGACCTCAGGGTCATCCCATTATATGCAAAACAACCTTAGGTCCACTATACAAAACGACATCAGGTCTCCTACTTTTAGTGCTTCACGGCATCGAAGATGGCTGCAGATTTACCGAAGCGGCCTTGGGCCCATTCATATTCATATATCAATCACTTACATACTCTATTACAATCAAAAGATAAGAAACTCATTCAGAGTGCAAATTCAAAGTTTCAGAAACTTACCCACATAGGTAACATTTAATGAGAAATACAACACAAAATATCATTACAAGATATTTCAGCAGTGTTAAGATGCTTGATTCGCTTGCCAATTGACCCTACATAATTCACAACACATTGGGTCATAAACAATTCAAATTTGTTCCTTAGTTTTTGCTTAAATCCTTAGGCTTTCTTTTCGTGTCTTTAATTCATTTAGAAATGCTTAATATGGGCCTAAAGGAAGCTCAGAAATGAAGAGACAAGAAATTGAAAGCATAAAACACTTTTCAACAGTCCTTGAAAACAGGGGCTCTTTGCTCGAGCGCAACTTTGGTTGCCTGAGTGGACCCCTTGGTTTTGCAAAAGTATGCTAATGTGAGAACCCAATAGTAAAAATTAAGGTAAATAATTAAATAATACAATAATAATAATTACAATCTCAAATATTTTGATGGTGAATCTTAAAGTTTGCAAATTAAAATGTGGAGGGTCTTGTAATTAATTTTAAACACTAAAATAAATTTATGGTGAAAGTCTCAATTATAAAGGCAAGATTTTATTATTTAAAAAATAAATAAATAAATAAATCAAATAAATAAAATTAAGTGTCAAAATTAGTTAAGCATATTTTGATCATAATAGTAGTTGTATTTATTTAATCATTAATGGAGAGATAAAAATAAAATAAACACAACCCTACTCTATTATTTGTTCACCACATGGGCAACAACACAGCGCCATGGGAAGAGGGTTTGAAGAGAAGGAAAAAAGAAGATGTTGCATCAAAGAACTTTGAGTGTGTTTGTGTTGTGGTGTGATCATAAAATTAGCCCCCTAAGTTTTTCTTGCTCATTCTTCTTTGTTCTTCATCCTTTATTCTATAGATTATTTATTCATTCATGGAGAGGGTTGTAGGTTTAATTATTTTGTATATATACTGTATAAGCTGGTTAGAAAATCTGAGGAGCTAAATTTAATGTGTAAAAGAATTGCGGTGCTAATTCTTAGTTCAAAATTCTGCACAGAATCGCAAACTTTAAAAATAAAGAAACATATCAAACGGGTATGAAATTTTAATATGAATTTTTAACAGTAGTCAATTACATATTGTAATTGCATATCTTGAATTTTCATAAGTTTGGGAAGTCAAAATCCATATAAATTGAGGTATTTCAAATCTGTCCAGGAAACCAGTCCGAAACAGTAAATTCGGGAGTGTTGTTCTCTTCTGGATGTATAAATCCAAAAATATCAAATTAGTGTCATTTAAAACCGATTACGAGTCTATTTGTACGTTTTGTGCCTTGCATTGATTTGCTTCTTGAATTAAAAGAGAATCGTCAATTTCTTTAAAAGTTGCTGCCAGAAAACAAACCTGTTTGGATATTAATAAATTGTAGATAATTATTTTATAAGCAAATCAAGTGAAACCAATTGGGTTTTAAACTTAGGATATATTAGATCATATTTGGCAGGTTATTGGAATCTTTTCGAATAGGCGTGTGAGTGGTGTTTGTAGATTTCAAGTTAGCGAAATAGTTGGGAAGGCTTGTTGAAATTCTATTTTTATCTATAAAGTCACAATTAATTGAAGTTTTGACCTCGCGAATCAATTCTTGGGTGATTTAAAACCTTGAAGAACATGAACTTAGGTAATGATTAAGAGATAATGGTGAGTTGGGTTGAGCCGTGTTAGTGCCGCTTTAGTTGCAGGTATACTTAGTTTCCTATTTTTAGTATTTTTAATAATTAGTTGGACGTGTAGTTTTATACTGGTTCAGGCCTAGTTGGACTTTTACACTCTATTCGAGATTATATATTTCGGTTTCAGCTGAGTAGTTTTCATGCTACGTATTTTTAATAAATGTTCCCCTATACCTGAACTGTTTGAGAAATTAAATTGTTGTTTTCAAGAACTAAAACTGTTTGATAAATTATATATTATCAATTGAATTCAAATTATTCTGAAACATGTGTGAACTTGGGCATATCTGTAAACTATTGTTGTTTGGTCTCACTGTTTATAATGATGAACCACAAGTACCATGTTTTGCGAAACTGATGTGTATTGATTATTGGGACCATGTGTGTATTTAGTCCAGGGAAATTATTCCACTGTGTGTGGTGACTCTGGCCACTAGGGAACAGATCCGGGTTGGGCTGTGATGACTCTAGTGCTCAACGATTGTAAGGAAAAGATCTTTAAAAATAACTAGGTGACCTTCAATCGGATCGTCTTTGAGAAAAGGCCTAGGTGCCACCCTGAGGATGACTCTTAGTTCGGTATTGGATCCAACGGGGCTTATAGCCTTGAGAACTGTGTGGCAGATTATTTGTTTTTCTTGGTACCCAGAAAATTATTGGTGTTCATGTTATAATCTGTTTTAAGTGGAACATGTCGTTTATCATGTTCTTGCGAGACATGAGTATTTTAAGTGTTGAACTGTGGAACCTTCTTTTTGAAACAGATTGTATTTACCAAACTGTATGCCAATCTAGTTTCTGTGATATATATCTTATTTTGGAATTGAACCCTGTTTTCAAAACTGTATTTACTATCCATGTTGCTGCTCACTGAGCTATCAGCTGACTTAGTTGTTTACCAATTCCAGGTGTTAGGAGGACTTAGAGTGGACTCATGGCGTAGCGGGGACTCAATTGCATGGACCTCTAGGGCGTTTATTTAATTTGTTTTAGGTTGCTTTGTCAAGTTTGTGCATATTTATATTTATTCTTATCGAAGTTCATTTAGGATTATTTTTGATATGTGGGTTGTTTATATCCCATAAGTTTGGATGGTTTTTTATTACGGTTGATTTTGCCGTTTATAATTGTGACATGTCTGGATTGAGTTTTGGTTATTTATTATTGGACTATTGTTCAGTTGTTCAATGTGATTGGATTCGTGTTTAGGCTTACGTGTGCCTTGGGCTAAGTCCCTGTGGGCCACGGCCGGTCATGCCCGGATTTGGGGTGTGACATACTAGTTGCTTGATTTTTAGGCTCGAGCCAACTTTTTGTCGCTCAAGCCATGAGTAATGCAAACCAGGGTTTGCTTGAGCATAGGTTTTGCCGTTTGAGCCACCATGCAATTCTCTGTAAAACTTCTGGAAGCTTAACTTTTACGCTCGAGCACCACTTCCTATGCTCGAGCGAACTGGTCGAATTCTGGAATTTCCAGAATTATGTTTGAAGCTCAAACTTGCAATTCAATGGTTCAAGTTCGGTTTGCGGTTTGGACCCGCCTGCATGTTTGCAGTTTTGGAAAAATTGAATCCGCAGCCGCCCGCAATGCGAGTTGCGGTTTGCGGATTGAGTTTTTTCCTTTAAAAAAAAAATTTGCTTTTCTTTTTAATTTTAAAAATATTTTTGATTGTAGAAGATTTAACACTATCCTCCATTAAAATTGGATTACAAAAAATTAAAATGAAAATTAAATAAAAACTAACATAGAAAAAAAACAAAAAAACAAAAATTCACATAACTAGATTTGAAAAGATTCCAATTGAATAATAAGTATTTTAAACAAGGCAGTGCATAATATTATGATAATGTTATAACGTTAGAGCCTACAGGTTTGATAATCAGATTAAAGTGAGTGGGAGAAGAGAAGATTAGGATTACACACTTACAAAACTCACAAAAAAATCTAATGGTCCAGATTTTTAAAAAAAAAAATTATAAATAGATGCAGGCGGGTGTACGGGTAAAACCCGCGACCCACCCGTGACCTGCAAAATAGGAAAATCTTAAACTATATCCGTCCATAACAATTCTGCGAAACTGCCTAAATAGGCGTGGGCAGTTCGGATTGGGCGGTATTTGCAGGTTGGATAACCCTATACCCAGCCCTAGTCACATTTCCCCCCACCCCTCCACAAAAGTGTAAATAAAAGTATTCACAGTTGTTGAAGTCCATAATTTTTTTAGAAGTCAAAAAGAGCCAGAATTATAGACCCTTGTAAACTGACACATAAGGAGAATGCTAATTAAGAAATGTTTAGGCTCGCCTCAAACTTTAAGGCTATTATAAGGTTAATGTCTCTATGCCGAGGCTCATCAAGTCTTTGATTAACTTGCATAGAAAGCATTATTCAAATTCCTTTACTAATTAAAGATTTGGTGTAGCACGACATTCAAGATGTACAATGCTTTTACATCTTGTAACAACAAGTCTGAAGCTTGGAGAGTATTCATTTTTTTCTTTTTTTCTTTTTTTTAAAAGAACACATCATAACAACAACAACAACAACAATGATTAACTACATCTCTTGAGTACTGTTTGCAATATACATACAGAAATCCATCTGGTCAACCAGTTGACGGAAATCTTTTGAATTCCAAACTGAAAAATACAATATTCTACTGTGCTAAAATCCAATAAGGATGCCAATGTGTAGGCTTAAAACGGAGTAGCGGCCCTCATATCCAGTGCAACAGCTCCATTTTGCTCCATTAAACGTTGGTTGCATAAAGAATTGACCCAGATGTGTCATCAGGTTCAGAACTGATCACCCAACAGCATTACAAGAAAGCTATAAGCAATTTAGCATTCACTATTTCTTACATTTACAGGAATAGATGTGGGATACCAATACCATTTTTCGTAATGCTGCAAGTAAAAAAAATAGAAGCTTCAATCATATTTTTTTTTCAATTGAGTCCTAAATGTGGATTGATGGCTTTTTTCTCAAAATGTTCAATATTTTTGTATGAACAAAAGGCTGTATGGCTTCAAAATTTTAATTATGCCATCAATCATCATGCTGGCACTGAATCTTATAAAACTCCACAAGTCAGGGTTCAGAACTGGTCGCCCAACAGGGATACAAGAAAGCTTTAAGCAATTTAGCATTCACTATTTCTTACATTTACTGGAACAGATGTGGGATACTAATACCATTTTTTGTAATGCCCCAAGTAAAAAAAATGATCAAATGGCACTGAATCTTATAAAACTCCACAAGTCAATTTTACTTGCAAGGCAACCAAATAGAGGGTGAAAAACACCTTTCACTGTTCAGATTTGCAAACACACACATATCCACAATGGATCATATTAATTATGAAATTGAAGCAACTTAAACTGTGAAACTCAAAAGTGGAGAGCTCACATACCTTTACATTTTCCATTTGGACAAGTCCCACAAATGATATTTACCTGAAATTCAATTAGAAAATTTATTTATAAAACTTAGATCAGTACAATTAGGGGAAGTTCAAGATTCAACTTATGAAATACTGATTTGTATGCCCCTTATCCTGCCTCACAGCCAAACAAAATGAAAAAATGTCACTTTGAACGGTATTCTCATACAATCCTCTGAACCATACCTAAGAAATAAAATTTATGTATTACTCAAAAAGAAAAAGGGAATATCATGCAACTGACCGGAGCTGTACGTCCCATTTTGTCATAACTACGCTCACAATTTATCAAATCACCATTGTAAAAGTCCTGGATGTAAAGAGAATTTTGAGTACATAAAAATTAGGTTTTACAAGTTGCAATGCACTATAAGATCAAGCAAATTAGGTCCATAGAAAATAGCTTCCAAACTTCTGAAATATATATTAGCTAGGCAAACATTCCACAAGTTTTTAGCTTCCTTCTTTTATGTTGCAAGTCTGTGATAAACAGAAAAGGCTGATAACTCCAATATTTGACAGAAAAGCTGTAATGGCACAATGACAGTAGCCAGGCAATGCGAAAGCAGAGAAGCGTAATCATTTCCCAAATCACATTGTCTGTGTTTTCTTAAACACAAATACTTCCAAGAAAGGACTTAAATTCCCAGAGCTTAACCATGATTTCCAACTAACTAGGCTCAACACCTCACTTTCTCAGTTCTTAAAGATGTTACAGCTAATGGTATTATTGGGGCTTTTCATTCAAGTCTCATGCAATGACACATAGTTTTAAACATATAATGCAATTCTATTTCCATCTACTAACCTTTATCCTGTAATAATTGCATCACATCATCCATTTTAACTGGCACATTTTACCTTATTAACTACCAACCAATTAGCTTGTGCTATAAAAAAAGCACAGAATATCTACTTCTTACCATCCAAGCACTCATGAAGCGCAAGATAAATTTTGCTATTAAAAAAAAAAAGGGCTATGCAATCAGATAATTAAATACAGCATAACTATTTCATTTTTATGGAAGCTAAGAAAATGTTTCTATTACTGTGTATAGAAACGTAGCTTTTTTTGAGGTACCTTTATCCTGTAATAATTGCATCACATCATCCATTTTAACTGGCACATTTTACCTTATTAACTACCAACCAATTAGCTTGTGCTATAAAAAAAGCACAGAATATCTACTTCTTTACCATCCAAGCACTCATGAAGCGCAAGATAAATTTTGCTATTAAAAAAAAAAGGGCTATGCAATCAGATAATTAAATACAGCATAACTATTTCATTTTTATGGAAGCTAAGAAAATGTTTCTATTACTATGTATAGAAACGTAGCTTTTTTTGAGGTTCCCAAATCACCACTATGTATAGTGAACCAATGAAATGCCATAAAACATATGTCAAAGGAAAAAGGGACTCAAAGAAAGGCTCTTGGTTATATTAAAACTATTTCAAGGGAACTTTAAAATGACAAGCAAGTATTTAAAAAGATCACCAGTTTGTCATATGTTAGGACAGAGAAAAATCACCAAAGGGAATTAACTGCACCAACAGTGTTAACTGCTTAAATTAAGGAAAATAGAGCTTGCAAAAATAAGAATCATCACCAATCACAACTTACCTGAACAAAATTAACATGACCTGAACCAGCAACGAAAAAGTTGAACTTGTCAAATCTGCCAAAATCCACATATCCCTGCAAAACTTTAGCATATAATTTTAAGCAGCATCATACTAATAGAAAAATAAGCTATGTTAAATAGTAGAAAATACAAATTACATCAAATAACTTATTTCTAACATGCTTATTCTGACCAAGTGAACATAAAAAAGTTTATAGCTTCAATTTTGTTATATATTATGCACTCAACATGAAGAAGCTTTGAACCTGATCAACTTATAGAACATTAAATCAGGATATAATATCTTCACCTACTTAGTGGCATGGGATAATGACTAACCATAGTAGGATTCACGTACTTGTATGGGACACAAGAACCATGTAGTCTTTGTGTTACGTCAGTCTCACAAAAGATGGCTCATTTATTTGGAAACACAAACTTTCCTCTTTTCTACCATATCCTTGAAGCAAGATTCTAAAAGCAGCTACAAAGTTCCCCAATAAAACCATTAGTGGCTACTTAAAGAAAGAACGGCATTTAAGTTACAATGTGAAAGCTCAACCATGTGCAGCTGATGTAGTCTACAATAAGCAATTGTTCAAAGAAGAGATTGTATGAAGGTAAGTTATACATACAAACTTAGGCGGCATTGAATAATCATACGCCTTAAATGGTTCTGCGAACAACAACATAGGGTCTTGTGGTTACACCACTCCCATTAAATATGTGTGGCCTGTCTTGACTCATTCATCATAGCTCTCTATATCAACTATAAGCTCCCTAAATAGCACTGGATTGCTTTAAAGAGAGGGGTGGAGGTATATGTTACATGGACTCGGGTACAGATGTCGGTGCAGGTGTGTATCTAGAGATCGGACCTATCAAATCTCAAATTTAAGGGTACGTGGACTTGCCAAAAAAGGGTGATACTTTTATATTTTTAATCTATTAGATAAGATAAAATGGTGTTATATGTTACATACAACATCAAAAAGGTATTTCTTCATTTTATAGCAATTATACAATATACATATAATGATAGTGTTAAATAGAAATATACCCAAGTGTTGGGTGTCTGGCACGTGTATTTGATTTATTTTGAAGAGTCCATGTAAGATAGGAAGCAGGTACTCATGTTGAAGAAATAATTTATTCCTAATTGTTCAAAAATTTTCCAGGATAAATTGGAGAAAGAAAGAAACATCACAACATAGGACAACATTTCAAAATAAGATTCATCATCTTAATCTATTTAACCAAAAGATAGATGTAGTTATATACATGTATACTTCACTGATAGTTTAATTGAGAATATAGTGAGTGTTAAAATTTATCAATAAACCTACCACCACTACCACCTCACCTACTCCACTAAACCTAACCCACTACACCACTACCACCTCACCTACTCCACTAAACCTAACCCACTACACCTACACCTACATCTATATAAGGAACGAAGAAGAAGAAGAAGAAGAAGGAAAGAGAAAGCCATAGATGAGCTTTGAAAATTATAACCAGTACCAACAATCAGTACACTCTGCATATTGTTTCACACTCAAAAAATAATGATGTATGATTATCATTTTAGACATTACCTTCCCATCATACTCAAATGGATGTCCAATCCACCCGCTCTTAGCCGCAAATTAAGGAGAAACAATTTCTATAATCATTTCCAAAATTCGTATGAAGTAATTAATAATGACCAGTAAAAGTAAGAAATTTAGGCTCCATTTGGAGCCTGTAAATAATAAGAGGGAAAGGGGCTTAAAAAAGACTTTTTTCCTAAATAGTTTTAATAAATTTATTTTCTGCTCTATCATTGCTCTACAAGCCAAACCTGGCATTCAAGTATCCACCAGGTGGCAGTAGCATAATGGAAATCGTTTGTTAGTGTGACTGACCATACAACAGGTCCAACAAAAACTATGAAATTCCATATGGAAATGGAACCCATCCAACAATAGCACATTCTATTCCACACTTAAAGTTCTCTCCATCCTAATTATGGCAATTTGAGCTCTTTCAGTAGATCAAATATCATATATGAGTGATACATTCAGGAATTTTCAATATTAAAAACAGAAACAAATATTCACTTTTCCTTTACGAGTGTATGCCAGCCCTTAGGTACAAGTCATAACCAAACAAATTAGATTTTTCTAGTGCAATTACAAACCAATTACAATGTGTAGGATACAAAATCATAAATGTGACTGGAATTGTCAAGAGCATAGCAGTTGGAACTCGGAACTGCAATTGAAGCAGCTCCAAGTGCCTGGAGCAAAACAGCTGACAAAAATGCATAATATATATTAGACATAAGAACCAAATCCACCATTTTACACACAGGGGAGGGGGGGAAAGTAATGGAAACCTCTAAAAGTGGTACTACTCAGCAAAGTTCTAAATTAAACAAAGCAATGTCGCCTGTGGCTGAAGTTAAAAACAACCAATAGAATGAATATTCTTCTGATGGGTTGCTTGTGCTCCTCATCCTTTAAAAAATTCAAGAATGTCCTGCCAAAAAAAGTCACATGATCCATACACTAGTTGTTTGATAAAACTGAAAACCAAAAACTATAAATTAAATACTGAAAACTGAATGTTGAATTTTTTAATTTGAAAAGTTGTTTGGTATTTAATGAAAGTTAAGTGATAAATTTAATCAAGTGGTTTTGTATGTAAAAGAGTTGAAATTTGAAATTTATTCATTTTTAAAATTTTCTTACACTCTCAATGTTTGTGGTGGTGATTTGATAACCATGTTGTGGTGGTAGCGTAGTGGTGGTGGTGCGACATAAGATAGTTATGGCAAAGGTGGTGATAATGGCAGTAGTAGAGTGATGGTGACAATGGGGGTTGAGGTAGAGGGGGCAAAGACGGCGATGGTGGTGGTAGTAGAGTGACAATGGTAGCAGTAGTGGTGGTAGGCTGGCAACAAGGATGATGGTTTGTGGTGGTGGTGGTGGTAACAATAATGGTGATGGCATTAGTAGGGTGCACCTCAGTGGCATAATCATAATAGATTAAAAATTCAACATTCATCATTCATAATTAAGAGTTCTATAACTTAAAATTTTAGCCTATATTTAAAAATAAATAAATAAATAAATAAACTTGAAATTCCAAGTGATATCAATTATGATTAGCAAACAAATTCAATTTATGTTTACTAATTTTTAAGTGCTGAAATTGTAAATTTTGCAAGGTTACCAAGTGATTGAGTTTGTATGGAAAAATAATCACACACACACAAAAAAAAAAAAAAAGAAGGAAAAGAAAATGCATGACAATACTAGGAATCTTCTGATAACTATGTGAAATGCTGTGACAATATATTAACACTAGGAAATTATGTAAAAAATCTTCTAAATTCTGATAAGTATTATGTATTCTGACGACCCCAATTCAAAACCAATTACAAAACACACAAAGTGTAAAAATATTGTACAAGGTGTATGTTTATTTATACTTCGCATATGCTACAAAAGAACAAACCTGACTCTATTTCAAAGATTTCTCAAACAAACCAATATATAAACATTGCCCTCTGTTTGATTCTTATAAGGATTTACGTTACAAACAAAACAATGAAAAAAAGGAAAAGAAAATGACATATTGCCATTTTCTCGGTTGATTCAGGGAAGTTTGTTTATCAAACAAATGCAAGACGATGAATTTAATGATCCAAATTTGAACCAGGATGACCTAGATTTACTGAAAATAGTACCTGAATATAGTTGTCTTCAGCAGCAACGAGCTCAGGAGAAAAACGTTTCAGGATCGCGAATTATGGACCATGGACCGACCATAGAGAGCCAAACGGGTTCAATCTATGCTCCCCCTTTTTATTTTTATTTTTTTAATTTTGAAAAAATAAATAAAAATTACTACTATAATCCTTAAATTTAATTTTTCAATAAATTATAAATATACCTTTTAAAATTTGCTTAAAATATAGATTGTTATTTGTGATTTGAAAAATGACAAATATCTCGTTGTTATAATTTTTTTATTTAACAGAATTAAGTAAAAAAATAAAATTATTAATTGTTCTCCTATATAATAATAAAATTGTCTAAATTATTAATTAAAATAAATTTATAATATATCATTGAAAACTATTAATTAACTTAATAATTTATTAATAAAATAGATCATTTATTATAAAATTATAAATTTCAAAGGGCGGGATATAATTTCAAAAGTATATGAGACAAATCATATTTGAAACACATCTTAAAAAGTGTATTTGTAATTTATTCTTAATTTTTTTTAGTGGTGGAGTAATGGAGAGCAATGTGGGGGTGATAATGTGATGTCAATGGTAAAACTTTAGTTCAAAATATATTGGTTAGGGAAGTGGGTGGGCCTTTTGACTTTTTGACTTTTTTGGTTATTTTAACCTGGGGCTAAAAAGCTTGGTTTGAAAAGAGTTTTTGGCTTTTTTAACTTTTTTGTGAGAGAAGAAATGTAATGATTATGGGTTAGATATGATATTTTGTCTTGTTAGGCTAAAAAATCTATTTTATTTTTTGTGACTATTTTAGCTAAAAAAAACTTCCAAACCAACTTGCCAAACGGATATGTGTTTTAAAAATGAAAAATACTTTCTATGTTAACAAGCAAATGCTAAGACATAAAACATTTTTTTATTAAAAAAATGAATAAAAATTCTTAAACCTTCCACATCACCTCAAGATTTTTTTATTTTATTTTTTTTCTCTCCATAAAACACTAAGCTTATGTTAGGTTTGATTTTTAAAAAATTGTTTCAAAAAAATTAAAAATTAAAATTTAGTTTTTTGAAAAAAAAAAAAGAAAAAAAAAACACTTATCATTTTTATATAGTTTTACCTTTTTGGAGAACATTAATAATTTTTAAAAGATTTAAAACATATATTTTATATTCATTTTTTGTCAGACTAATTTCTGTTTTATTTAAAAAATAAACTCAAACCAAACATGCCTAAGTCCTTATGGTTTGACCGAAACACTTTTATACTGCTTGTTTGAGAATTGAATATTTTGGTTATGTAACAATTTTTAATGACTTTTTAATTTTTTAATTATTTATTTTAACTTTTTAACTATTTCAACTCATTAGTAAATGAGGTGTAAAACATGAATGCTCATAAACAACCTGCATGCCATTACACTTTTTCATTAAGAACTTTGAAATTTCACAACTTTAGTTCTACATATTTGCCGCTCACTAAATTTATATATTTTTTTAAACTTATTTGAATAGATCTATTAAAAAATGTATATATATACTTAAATAGTATATTATTTTGAATAAAAAAAATTCATTGTTGCTAACTATGAAATTTATCTGTTACATAAACTTTTATAATTTCATTACAAAAAAATATGAAATTTTACAATTTCTCAACACACATAAATGAGAAACTTCACCATTTTAATTGAGAAATTTCACAATAATCATTTTTATTATTATAATTTATCAATTTTCACAATAAATAAATTTTATAGTTATTAAAAAAACTCAATTTGTATGAAATTTCATTTTGTAGACGTAATTTTGAAATTTTATAATATTTGCACAAAAATTCTTTGCTGTTTTTATTTTACTTAATAACGTATATAATATTGATACTGTTTTATGAGTAATACTAGGAACCCATAAATTTTATCCATAAATATCAATTTATGGTTCATATTCATTTTCATATAACTTTTCTTTTGTTTTATATTTTTATATTTTTTCACTGTTTTCTTTTCTTATATGTTGCTTGTTATTTTACAAAATGGATATGCCTATGGAACAAGTCAGAGACAAAAAATTTAAATAACATATGATATTCTTTATTAAAATCAATGCACTTTTACTGAAATTAATATATATTTTAACATTTTTACATATTTTGAATAAACTTTTTACACACTTCTTAATATGAAACAATGCCCATGGGACATTTGTTAGCCTTTGTCATCATTAAAAAAAAAATGAAGGTAAAACAATAATACTAGGTAAGTTTAGAAGGGAAAAAAAAAATTACAAATCAATGATAAGTTGATAAATTTTAATAATTAAATCATTAAATTTTTTCATAAAATTGCACACCTTGTTTGGTTATCTCTGTTTTTTTCTAAAAATTAAATTTTTTATTTTTCATAATTTTTTTTTTGTTTATAGTGATTTTTTAAAATTATTTTAATCAAAATTATTATTTTTTAGATATACCTAATCTAAATACACTTAATATTTGTTAAAAAACATTCAAAAAATTCACAAAGTACAAAAAAAAGGTATATTTTCATAGTTGGTTGTATTTAATAAAAAAAAATTAAGATTTTGCACAAATTTTAAACTTTTTGACTATATTAAGTGAATCTAAAAAGTAAAAAAATAATAAAAATTAAAATATTTATTAAAAAAAAAGAAGAGAAAATTGTTGAAAATTCTAATGTAAGAAGGGTATAAGACATTAAATATAGCGTTTCTGGTTTAGACCCGACCCATTTTGTATTCTAGACTCGGATTTCATAGCCTCATATGATTATTCATGCATTTTCCCTCTTATCCTTCCTCAATTTTGGTTATTAGATTATAGTGGTTGTGTTTGGAACAAATTGGTTGCTTAGTTTTCAAACCTTTGTTGTCAAAATTTTTACTCCTCCGCTCGAGCGGGACTTCGTGCACTCGAGCGGGCTTTGCAAATTCTCAGTACTTTTGCAGGTTTGCAAAACTACTGGGAGAGTGTATTCTACGCTCGAGCAAGTGTGCATTCGAGTGACCATTCTTGTGCTCAAGCACTATTTTTTTGTCTGCAAAATTACTAGATGTGTGTATTCTGCGCTCGAGCATCACTTCCTGCGCTTGAGCGGAACAAATTGTTGTGTCTGATGCTTGAGCGGACTGTACGTATATCAGTTCACAACAATCTCCTTTTTCATCACTTTTTCATAACTTTTCTCTTAAAAACCCTAGATCGGGACCTTCTCTCTCTAAAACTCCCACTCTCTCTTCATTTTCACCTAGATCTAGTGATCTCTCTACTCATGTGCTTTTGTTAAAAAGGTAGTACGTATCAAGAGCTCTCTTTTGGTTCAATTAAAGCTTGGTTTCAGTGTCTTTGAAGTTTCTCCACCTCTTCATTTGGTCTTTTAAGCTTAAGGTAGGGATTTTCTACACTCTTCTATGAGTTTTAACTTAAATATTTGTTAATGTGTAAGGAACATTGGGATTTGAAGTGATTTTGAACAAACCTAGGGTTTTAATTTAAAATCTAAAGAGGGTTTTTGAATGAGTATATAGGAAATGGTTATGGGAATAATTAAGAACTTGTGCAATGCTAAAATGATTGATTGGGGTACTTGGAGTGGATTTGGGAAAATAGGAAAAATTGCCCTAGAATATCTCAAATAATTATTTTATATAAATAATGGAATTGGTATTGAGAATATGAAATTGAATGGATGTCTATATGAATGGTAGAGTATGATGTGTATTCCCTCTCACTTATGGAAATTTGGATAATTTATTTGTCCTTAAGATTGTATAAATAACTATTTTGGGTTATCGATGGAGGATAGTTATGATTGTTGTAAAAATTGTATGAGGATTAGGTGAATTAAAACTAATCTTTTATTGGTTGTCATTGAATATGACTGTGTCTCAAATACATTGTATATATATGATGTTAGGGAGGAGAAAATTGATGTACTCCATGTTTGGGAGAATAAATGGGATGGACTCAATTGAATTAAGTTGACTTGTGTGTTCTGGATGAAAGTCTCAAAAATCGCTCGTATACATGGGTGCCGATTTCGCGGACGAAATTTTCGTAAAATGACAAATTAAAGTGTTTGTATGATGGTTATATATGTTTGAAAACCACTGAGTTGTAGTCTCAGTTAGGTTGTCCGAATAATAATAAACATGACTCATGAATTGGGATGAAATGAATTGACGTGAATGGAATTGGGATAACATGGATTGAGATATAAAATTTGACATATTATGAATTTGGGAAATATGAATGATTTTACCACGGACATTGTATATGCATATTTTACTTATATCTTTGTTAAAATTTATATATATTGTGTTAGATTGTTTTTATTGGGTTTTGACTCTCCCTGTTTGGGGAAAATCATTTTCAGATGTTGGTGATATGCCTTCGCCAACGCAGTAATTTGGAGGGATTATGTGATGACCACACCACGTATAATGATTAGCACTTAATTAATTAAGGAGATTTGAATTTTAATTGCCCACTGTTCTAATTTAATTTAGGGTTAAGAATTATTTAGTTTGATTTGTATATGATTCTATTGAGGTTTGATTTTGGAATTAGAAATTGAAAGCCTACATCGCACAAGAGAGTATAGTTGGTGAATTGAATTAGTTTAATTTCGAGTATCAGACCGTGTAGGAGCTTAATTAAATATTCGATTCAGATTTGTAAAATTGAGATTTGATTAATTGGGTCCGAATTGGAGTTAATTAAGTTATGAGAATTGGGAATTAAGATTATTATGAGTTAAATTTATTTGTAAGGTATTCAATTAAGTATATAATTTATTGGAGAAGATTTTGAAGTTTAATCTGAAATTGAAGATCTTAATGATTTAAGAAACCAAAATTGATGATGGAAATAAGTTTAATTTAATATTTGGAGCCTTTTGGAAGTTTAATTAAAAATCTGATTCAAAACAATAAATCTTAACATAATTAATTAGGCTCTAAAAGAAGTCAAATTAGATAAATTAAATTATGCGGGATTTGTGATTAGTTAAGAGTAATTTAATTATGTGCTAATCAATGCTTAATTGGATTTAATGGGATTAATTAAACCAAGTGTTACTTGTAATTAG